AGTGTGCCTCCTGATGTGATGGCACTCTTGTTGAAGAAGTAGCTATGCGACCTGGAAGTCCTACTTGACTCATAGCTACTGCTGAATAAACTATAATTTATTGAGAATGTGAGTGAAAGATTCTGAAATCCTCCTGGTTTCAGGATACTGAGAAAAAGAGAGAACAAGGCTCAGTGTGAGTCATGCCTTCACATTCTACACAAATAAGGCCTCCCTGTCTTCAAGGACTTGATGATGATATTCAAGGACTTAGCATTCAAGTATTGTGCATGTTGAGTCAATATAGCATTCATAATGACCCACAAAAACAGTTTATTCTATTTCAGGGCCCTCATGCTCTTTCCTCATGGATACTCTGTGTTGCTCCATGTCACCTTTTGTGACCTGTAACAATCACTCAGCTGATGAAAGAAGGTGACACTCTCTGTCATCTCAATTGGTTCACCAAAGAAAGTGTGAAGGGACACCAGGAGACAAGAGGAGACAGATGGAAAAAAAGGATATAGGGAAAAGGAGGAGGTAACCTGCTCCAATTAAGAATAATAGAAAGTGCCATACATCCTGCACACACTGCAGGACAGAGAAAATACCAGAAGAACAGTAGCGGTGGTGGCAGTTTGCCAATTTCAGTCAGTTTCTGTGATTACTGGGCTATAGCTGAACACTGAACAGTTGGTGGACAGATACAAGGCCAGTCACTGAATCCACAGTTTCAGAATCAGAAGGAAAGGTGATCCTGTGCCCAGGCAGAGATCACTAGCATACCATCATGGTTAAGCTAGCACTTGCTCTGCTACCACTGCAGCAACTTCACCTTGGTTTGCTCCCATGTCCTTCTCTAGCACCTTAGGCGTTGTTTTGGGTGGCAGGTTACATGAACCTAAAGCTGGATGACAGCTCAAATTTTGTGTGTGTGTGTGTCTCTGTCTTTGCTTCCAACAGAATTCCTGGAGTCTCTTCTATAGAGCCAGGACTTATGTCCATGTTTTTCAAACTTTAACACATCTAGACTTCAACTCCCAGAATTCCCAACCCAGCAAAACCAAATAAATATATTATAGCTACTATGATGCAGTGTAAGAACTTTGTCCATATAAAGCAACTTCTTATGGTCCTATATTCCAACAGTTGAGCTAGGGACCTCCAATTGCACAGATCAATCTATTATCTACAGTGCCACATTAGATCTTGATTAATATACTATATAAACCAACATTTGACCAAAAGAAAAAGCAATATGTATGCCCATGGCTTGAAAAAAAAAAAAGAATCCACATACATAATAAGCTGTAGGAAGCAAAGATAGATGTAAAAAAACAGAAGAAAGAACTGGCCAGGAACAGCTAGATGATAAAGTCTAACTCATATTTCACTGAGTCAAGTAATCTTGAACTGGTTGCCAAATAGCATAAAATGTTTCCAGGTTGTCTCTCTTTGTAGAGCATTCCATCATCTGCTGTTAAAGCAAGCTGCTCAGTAGCCTAAATTCCATGGCAGGGGGAAATTGTGGCTTTCCAAGTTCACAATGAGATGCTTGGCAACCAAAAGAAATCTCTATGAAGAGCGTAATGGTCCTTTGGATCCAAACAGCTGGAAAATCACGTGAAAACCTGTGTCTTGGTCAAAAAGGAATTGCAGGTATTTAAGACAAGACTTTGGCATTTTGTTTTTGTAAAAGAAAAGAAAAAAACCTTCCACAATAATAATTCTGTCAACCTCCAATTTATGCATTACACTTGACCCAGGAATCGTACAATGCTAGCAAACAGCCAAATTCATTTTTTTCTACATTTTTTTTTAAAGAAAACAGAATTCAAAAGAAGTTAGGTAACAAGAAACCTGAAACTAAGTGAGGGGAAAAGATACCCTTAACACTTCTATCCCATATACTGCTTAACATTAAAGGATATACAACATCTTTTTCTGAAAAACTCCTACAAGCAGGAAGAATTAGTTTCCTTCCCGCTGATTCTCTCTATTCCCAATGCCCTCCCATAGATCTCCCATACGCCCCAGATAAATCTTCTTTGCGTGTAAAATATTGGGAACAATAATGGGGTAATAGAGGAAACATAGAAGTGCTATTTTTTTCCTCTTCCCTTTCATTGTTATTTTTTTTTTCTGGTTATACCTCAATTTCAATAGGTCTTAGAAGAATTTCGTTTCCTATGTACATTTGAGCTTCTTATGCAACATTTAATGCAGTACCCTAGGTTGTGAAAAGACTGCAAAGAAGTGAACTCTCCAAATCCTTTTCATATCGGTCATTACCACCACTTATCAAACTTGGAAAAGGGGGGGAAACAGAATCTGGGTGGGCGGGAAGGACTGGCTGCTACATGAGAAATCAAAAATTCTTTAGCTCACATGTTGACCTAAGCTAGAAAGAAATGTGAGGTTTGAAAAGTTCACTACTCGTTAGAGAACAATAAAGTTCTGTGCTACCTTAAAGGGTAAAATATATTATTTCGTAAGCTTTCATGAATCATAGTTCTCTTTATTTATAAATCCTCAAAGTCTTCTCTGAGCCCAGATTGAAGAACTTTTTTTGTGTGTGTGGGGGGGGGGAGTGCCACTTATTCAGAAAAAAAATCAGGAGTAGATTCTCTGTTCCTAGCATCCTTCTTATGATTAAAACTTTACACTTATAAGTTTTAGGAGTCGATTGGATTCTTATAGTAAGTCTCTAAGCGATTTTAAGGTAAAAAAAGAAAGGTTGCTGGTTTCATGGGCTAACAACAGCATTAGGAAAATTTTCTATCTAAAGTGAAAGATACTGAAATGGAATAAATACTACTAAGATCATCTGGTGACAACACCTTAGTTGATTAAGATTAAGCAGGGCCACACCTGCTTATTATTAGGATGAAACATCATCAGGAACTCACAGTGTTGTAAGACTGAAATCAAACGATCACAGAAGAACCACTTCTTGTCCTCCAGAAAATTTCATAGATGTATCCAGTGGTGGGATTCAAATTTTTTTACTACTGGTTCTGTGGGCGTGGCTTGGTGGTATGGCAGGGGAAGGTTACTATAAAATCTCCATTCCCTCCCCACCCACTAATCTGCTTTCCAGCTCCATTCTCCTGTGCAGGGCAACAAAAGAAGACCCAGCCAATCAGCTGGGACTCAGGAGGCAGAGAATAGATGGGGCGTGGGCAGTCAGAAGTGATATTTGCTAGTTTTCCAAATACTCAAAATTTCCATTACCAGTTCCCCAG